TTGTCACATTTGTGTGTGTGTGTGTGTGTGTTTTGTCCTCAGACAGAGAATTTCATTATGTGAATGCATTATGCTGTCATTATAAGTCATTTTAAGGTCATTCAGCTCCGAGGTTGCTCAGAGGTGCTGCTTTAAAATGAATATGAAATTGTAAATCTGAGTTAAATTTACTGGAGTTGAGAAAAAAAGTTCAATAAACTTAAGATATAGAAGCTGAATCAGCTGTTTTGTCACAGTCGTTGATCAGTTTAAGGTGTTCTTATTTCATTTAAAATGGAGAGCTTACATCTGTTAAATGCAAAACAATCCGTGGGACGTCTCCCATTGATAGTAGCTGTGTTTCCATACAACTGCCAAACAGATTTGAGGCAAACTATTGAAATATAACAAAAAAATAAAAAATGCAGATTTAACTTGCAATATTATGCATAGCTGTAATTAATAGAGCATAAGCCAGAAACAAAAGCATTATTTGGCCAAAAACATGAAGGAAGAAGAAGAAAAAGGGGAAACAGGCAAAGCTTTGGTCGTCTACATGAGAAAAATGCAGAGAAGTTTTCAGGAATTGTTTTGAATTGTAAAAGCTGGTGTGGCTGCATGTTTCATGGAGCCAAGAACATTGAAAGAAGTCGACTGTTCACTACATCAGAACATTTTCAGAAAAGGTGTTTCCATCTCCAAATATCTACTGCAACTCTTATTGAAAATGTCAAAAACATTGAAATGAATATAAAAACAATGCAAGAAAAGTTTTTTTTAGTTTTTTTAGGTTTAAGGATTCAGAGGAATAACTCTGCATAAAAATATATTATGGAAGCATTGCCAGTGAGATATGACACAAGTCTATTATGAATAAATATGTTGTAAATAAAACTGAAATCAGCGGCAACATTTGTCATAGTCAGAATTGTTTTCATTATTATTATGAAAAAAGACAACCATGACAGAATCTAACACATCACCTTTCCATTATGTCTGTTTTCTCAAACTACGAAACATATTCTTGAGTGACCTCGTAGCTGTTCCTGCATTCAAACCAACGTTTTAAGTCAAAATGGCCCAAGTTTTTTAGAGAGGTCTAAAAATATAGATTACATTTTAACATTTTAGGTTTAATTAACCATAAACTAAACTAAACTACTTCCATAGAGTAAAGCAGAAACAAATGGATTTAGCTACGTTGTTTTTAGATGTTTCACAGGGAATACTATGTGATTTTTGTATTTTGTGTATTTGTTGACTGAATTGAAAACAGACACCAGACGATCAGTTCTGACAAATATCCACGAGTGAAATTGTGCATAAAAATATATTATGGAAACAAACAAATATATTACAGGACAACAAGTTGATTTCAGCATTATACTGATACAGTAAAGTACCAAACTGGACCATCTCTGTCTGTGGACACTTGTTAGTGTACACGTGTGTGTTTTGGAGAGAGTTCGAACATAATGTGCAGGTTCTGGCACCAAGAGCACGACCGATTGTTCTCGTTTTGTTTGTTTACCGACGACGAAGACAAAGAGAGACACACTGAAGGCTGAGCGGTGGACAGTTGTGTGTTTGTGTGTGACGTGTCCTCGTCCAAGAATGCTGTCTTGGGTGAATAAATGCAACACTGACAACAAATACAGTTTCTGGCTGATGTTTGTAACTCAAAAAGTAAACTTGCAATGATGCTAAAATCTGTCTGGATTTTTAATGGAATGTTTTCCTTTTTGTCATCATTATTCATTATTAAAGTGATTCCTCATCTACAAAATCAAAAGGTTTTTGTTTGGACTGTCAAACTGTAATCTTTCCATAACTCATATAATGCAACATCTCAGTCAGGCTGCATGTGGAAAATTTAAAGCTGCATTAGTCCGTTTTTATGGCCACTAGGGTGCCGATATATATTTGAAGATGTGCGAGCAACCACCTGTTGAATGTTAACCCAAACCAATATTCACTGTCTTTTTAATCTCTCTCTTTAGGTTATTTTGTTAATGCATTTGACTTAAATAAATTAATATTTTAAAGATCGAAATCCTCAGATTTCCAAAGTGGTTCGATGACTATCATCAGCTAAACAGCTAGCTGATGTCAAATTTTAAAATATGAAGCCACAATAAGTCTCATAGTCTCTGGATGACTGCTTAAAGCTGTTTGAGTATTTCCAGTATGTTGTTTAAGAGTCTCAGCCTGCGCTAGCCCGCTGCTGACAGCAGCATCAATTAAAACAAGAGTAGTCTCCATAAATTCTGTGAATTATCTTGTGTAAAAACACAGCTCAAATGAATGTGATGGGGGGTAGCTGTCGGTGTGTGCCCACCCTCGTTAATGGCCTTCATTATGAGCACACTCCGTTCTAATGAGCCATAATAACGCCTCCTGATAATCAACCTGATAGGTGGCCCCTTTGGACTCTTCAACCTTTGATTGGCTGGCTGGACGTTGGTGTGGAGACACGGATAGGCTATCAAGGGGAAGGTGGGAAGGGCAGGCTGGCTGATGGCCAATGAAAATGATAGGACCCAGAGGAACGAATGTGAGTGGCAGTGGGCGCTAACGCTGCGTAGATGAAAGGGCAGTGACGTAAACCGACTGAGTCTATGTGAGTGTTTGGGTGTTTCAGTTTAACAAAGGTCACCTGAATTGACCTTTTAATCCCAGCCAAGTGTGAAGCATCAGTCATCATTACTTTGGGTAATAATCCAAAAAGAGTATTGTGATTAACTTTGTAGGAGACATTCAGGTGTAAATAATAAAATGAATGATGGCTAAATTTCTTTGGTTTTAATTTAGTTTCAGAATCCTGCCGTGCATGCAGACTCACTGTCACACTGTTATGTCATATTAGTTAACATCTTTTCCAACTACGATGAGTAATAACAAAAACAAACAGAAACACTATTCTCATGCCTTCCCCCTCTTTTTTTTTGAGTACTTGCAATACATTAACTGCACTAAGAGTAACTTAACATAAAGTACATTACATCTCCAGCATATTAAACTGAAGACATGAAAATGTTCCCAGTTTAAACCTACTGTTTTGAAAAACTTGAATTTTTTTTGCTTTTTCCAAATGATTTGAGGTGGAGAATTAAAATACATAAAAATCTGGTTCAGTCATGTCTGATCCGGTGCCATGAGAATCTTTTTGTGTTTATTCTCAGTGCTGACAGCATCTCAGAAGTTCACCATCAAAGCAATAATCTGTAGTTAGATCATAGTTTTGTTGATAGACGACTGATTAGACAGAGGCACTGGACTACTGCTGGTCACAGCTGAGTCAGTCATGACTTCTCAGTTGACCTGAGGTGCACAGAATACCTTTATTTTTTCCCTCTTTTTTTTTTTTTTTTTACAGAATCTGGTCAGAGCATCCATCCATCCATTATCTATACACCGCTTAATCCTCACAAGAGTTG